ATAAGTATACATCCCGGAGTATCGTTTTTATTCCTCCACGGTCCCAGTGGAACATAGGGCTTCGAGCTAGTGGCTTGAAGTTTCGGTAGCAGTGATTTTTTTATTTTTACAGGATGGTGTTGCTAGCCTCATGCCCCACCTTTCCTTTTAACCAGTTTTATTACTTGCTTAGCGAGGTAAAGGGTGCGTTGGTCGAGGAACGAACCCCGGACCACCTGCGTGGTCGGCGAGCGTCTTAACCACTATGCCACCGACGCACACATCCCGGAGTATACTAGTAGCAAAAGTTTGTCAATTAATCACCCTTAGTCAAATTTTACCGAATTCGACTAGACTGACTTACAAAGTTTAATTGGTATTATCAATTTCTAGTTTCCAATTTTGTTATTTATTATATTCCACCTGTTCTACTTTATTGCTTCCCCTCACACCTTAATCTTTCCTGGGATACTTAAGAAGGACTTTGTTACACTCCGAGGGACAATAAAAGCCAGTAGTGGGGAGAGTAGGATGTCGCTAAACAAACTTCTTAATAGTGTTGTGGATAGCCAGGTGGACGCATGCAAGAATTTAGTGAGCATTACCCTGTCCGACATTAAGTGAGCATCCTCTCTTTAACCAGCTGTCTCCTTACATCTATTTCATCAGGTGGGACTAGAAGCGCAGCTGTTAGGAGACTTTATGTTTGGAGGAATAAGTATAAAACCTCCACAATGCCTTATTTGGTAGACACACATTTGATGTGATGAGAGAATTATTTTGAGCATGACACCAATAACTTACTGAGGAATATACTAAGTAAACGACCTTCTTATTCTTTCTTTTGTTAATATTTCCACTTAAATTTTAACTATATATTGATATTGAGCAATATTATCTCAATGTGAATGGCCTGATTGCTTATTAACCCTGTACTACATAATGAGAAAATTAGACGCAATACAGTACTACGAGTTGAAAATTTCATATTTGTACTAGAAGTACTGTTTGGGATAAAGTCATCAGTGTTATTCATATATGTGTAAAACTTGGGCACTGTGATAGTAAGTAATTTCCATATTAGTTAGTTTATTAGATGTATCACACAGTCAGTGAAACAGTATTATTTACTGGATGACACAGTTTCGAACAAAATTTATCGTGGTTCATAATCACATCAATTATAATCGCACGACTTCGAAACCTGAGTATTATAGTTTTCTTTGTTCTCTCCTGTTCGTCGTCGTAGGGGTAGCAGAATTTTTCAGATATCGGGATGGACAGGTATTGAGTCATTCCTATTACACTTATTTGCAGTTGATTCGATAAACAAAGCCTCAGTCAGTTATCAATCTCTCCCTCCACCCAGCTGTTACATTAGATTTTATGTTCGGCTAGTCTGACTGCCCCTGTTCTACTAGTCTGACCTATGTATTTGACCTGAAAATCATTCCAACAGGGTATTAGATTAACTTATTTGTTTTGTTTTAAAGCACAAAAATTAAGTAGTACCAAGGAAAATCTAAGACAGGATGTGAGGCCAATAAGAGAAGCTTTGAAACGTAATAATTACCCTGATAAATTAATCAGGAAGTATGTAGGGAAATGTGAGAATAAAATTAATAATAATATTAGTGATAGTGATTATAATAATAATAATGATAATAATGACGACATGCATGTCAAACATGCCCAGAATAATGACAACACCAACAATAAGGAATCTAAATCAGCAGTAATACTTCCATACAAGGAAGGAACCTTGGAAACCTTACGGAGAATTCTTAACAAAGGAGGAATAGAAGTGACATACAAAAATTCCAGCGAGATATATTATTTTATTGGTTGGAGGATTTCATCATGAGCTGACATCAGTTAGAGAACCACTGGAAAACCTGGGAGTACTGGACAGCTGTTTCTTCCTAGTTTGGGACACCTCAGCAAACTATGACGAACTAGGACGAAACAGCTGTCCAGTACTCCCAGGTTTTCCAGTGGTTCTTTAACTGATGTCAGCTCATGATGAAGTCTTCCAACCAATCAAACAACCAAAATTCCCTACAAAACCAATACTTGAAGATATATTATTTTCGATAAATTCCTTATCCGGCTCTATAATTATACATATACATATAAACAAAATACTCTAGAATAGTTGCCATTTACAATATTGGTGTTTTTTTGAAACCGTACTGACTTGTTAAGATCAGAAAAATGTTTTAATGATGAGCTCAATATTATTATTAAGCATTAAATGAGTGAAAAATCGTTACCCAGAGAAATTTCATCAACAAGAATGTGAATTTGAAAACAAAGCCAAGCCAAAGTACCAGCACTTCCAAAAAATACCTCATTCTTATAACTTCAATCACCCGATGATAAGACCAGTGAAATAAGCACACAACGCTTAAGGAATGCGGTAGAAATAAAAACAACATTTAATGCCTTTGAGTTACACTGTCTCTTCAAAAACCACTCGTATTTTACGTTTTGGAATCAATGATAAACTAACTAATTTTACCTCTTCTATGCGCATCTGTGAATTCGACTAGTACTATGCTGCCAGTAAGTTGTGTTTATCATCGCATTTCTGAACACCATCCTGAGTGTGGTTAAGCAAGCGACAAACGAAATCCACTAGTAGGCTTATTCTATTTCATTTTGTATATACAGAACACAAAACTGATGGTAATAAGGCTTTAAGTGTCATCTAGCGAAAACCGAGTAATCCTAATTTTACCCCAGGACTTCGTCTGTTACATACTGCTGAGATTGTGGGAATCCAGGTTTAGAAGAAGCCTAACGGATGTATATCTTTTTTTATTCCTTCATGTTCCAAGTGGAACATAGGGCTTCAAGCTTGTGGCTTGAAGTTTCTGTAGCAGTGTTTATTTTACAGGATGGGGTTGCTAGCCTCACGTCCAACCATTCCTCTTCGCCAGCTTTCAGTTCTGGCTTAGTGAGGTAAAGGAGTGCGTCGGTGCCTGGGGATCGAACCCCGGACGATGTGCATGGTGGGTGAGCGTCCTAACCGCTATGCCACCGACGCACCAACTGATGTGCTTTCCTTATCTTGACCATCAACGTTTTAATCATATCCTAAATTTGTTGTATAAACGTTTTCCTTAATTTTATCTGCTATTCTATTTGCTATTACAGTTTTATGCTTAATACTAACTTATGCATTCTTTCTTAAACTTCACTTCCATTGATCTTAAAAAATTGATATGATTTAAAAGAACATCAAATTTGTTAATGACGATTATTCTGCAATATTAGGTATATATATACCTGTATATATATGTAGGATTTTCAAAATGTTACAGACATTTATCAAAAGCTCCCACCTTCACTGGCTAGCTCCATCCTGAAGATGAAATGGCCAGCCAGCCAGTTAGCCAGGAAGAATTAGCAACAAGAAACTATGGCTGGCTGGGAACAAACCAACCAACTGAGAGCCGATAGCTCAACAAATATGTAGGAGAAAATGTAGAAAATTCACTCACAACTCTCCCCTTGCATCTCATCAGGCAGAGCCAGAAGCTTATATAGAAAACTATATGCTCGCACCAGCAAATACAAAAACTCAACCATACCCTACTTAGCTCGTGTTCTGTGCGATAAAGAAAGCATTAGGCGCGATAGCTATAACTTAATAAATAGTCAGTAGTACAACTGGATCTTGTCTTTCCAATTCATATCATTTTTAGGTACAAAGTTTTCTTTCTTTCATTTCCTTTCCTCTCTCTTCTTTTTTCTTTTATTCCGTTTTGTGCTGCTTTGTTTCTTTCTCTCGCTTACGCCAGTAAATATGATAGCACCTACTTTTCTAACACCTTCAAACACTGTTCAGCGTTGGCTTTGCTACCGACATGGCAATATGTTGTTGTCATAATGAACTGAGATTTCCTTAGTCTATGTAGAATTTTATTGTTAATGTACTAACTGGATGCAATACTGCAGTGAAATGCTGAGAATTCTATTCTGTATCACAAGTACTGTTCTGGAATAAAGCAAATTATTATACGTTGAGGAGGCGATTGAATGACATCTCTTACAATGCAGGCCACCACTCGAGTGGAAGGTGAATGGGAAGCAACCAGAGGATTGTCCAAGGTTGACATGGAGGTGTTTCTAGGGGGCAATCGTCGGCCCAGGTAAGGAGGAGTGCAGAAGATAGAATAAACTGGATATATATTTGAAGATCTATGTTCCGCTTGGAACCCACGGAAACAATAATAACAATACTGGTGTTAAGTACAGAAGATTTACAAACTGATTTCAGAATGATGAATGTCTCTCTCTCTCACATTTGTGAGTCTGATTTTGACATCTTCATCCATGCCACAGGCCACAGTTTAAACTATAATGCCTAGACATGTGAATGAAGTCACCCCCCCTTTTACAGTTTATTCCTTTTATAATGTTTTGGTGCTTGTTGTTGAGATAGTGGTGGCAGGATACCTTCATCACCTCCGTCTTCTCTATTTCCATTTGAAGTCCTGTTAAATACCTTGGGCTGTGTATTTCCTCTGATCTTTCTCCGACTTCTAAGATCATGTTATCCTCCAGAAAGATGTTTATTTTAACCCTCTTCGTAAAACAGTTAAGGTAAGGCAAGCTGGTGCCACTCAGTCCATCACTCGAATCAGACCCAATGAGAAGTGACGAGTGGATCGTCAGAGACAGGGTGACATGGAAGAGATGAGAGATTAGGGACATCTGTGAACCCAGTAGGAGAGGACAGTGGAAAATAGAAGACAGTGGAGATATGTTGTTGAAGCCGTATGTTCCACTAGGAACCCAAGGGAGAACCCAAGGAAGATTAATTCATCGAAAAGAATATCCTTTTCTCGAACTTCCGACAGTCCAATAGTAAAAAATATTTTTGGTATAGCTAATGTTCTATTTTTTTATATTTCATATCAACGTGACTGACTCATTTCTATTCATAAACACTGTAGGACCTGATTACACTTTAAAATAAAAAGGGCTAACTAATAAATATTTTTTTAACTCACTTTCAGTTCACTTCTGCGTTTCTCTGCTTCCGTCATACTTGCTGAATTATTTTCATGATTATTATTACTGTTATTATTATTGTTATTATTATTGCCTTCCGATTTTTCATTAGCTCTCGAAGCCAAACGACGATTCGAATGTTTACTCCCGGTACTATGTCCTGATTCATTCAGTAGAGCTTCACTTCTCTCCCTAACATTCCTATGCCCTTTACGACGTGAACGTGATTGAGCTTTCTCGTGTAGAAATAGGCTACCAGGCATATAGAATGCTGTATTCTCTCCAGCACGTAGTTTATAATGTGGCTGGGAATTTCTTGGTATAGTCCAATATTCAAATGGACCAGCATTTCCACCACCACCACCCCCACCTGCTGCTGATGATCCATTCCCATTACTGTGGAATCCATTCATTGTATGCGAAGCATCATTTCTTACCAGATAATTACCACGGGTATATGGTTGTAGTGTTTTTGGTATAGGTGGACGCGGGGATACAGACAGGACATATTCCTTGGATTTACTCGGTTTTAACACTTTCCAGTTATTGTTGCTGTGACTGTTGTTAGACAAGGCTTGATTCTTATTTGATCGCTGCTTGTGAGATAAATCAATCACTTGATTTTCTCCTTTCAAGGGTATATTGATTTGAGTACGTGTATACGGTGTATAGGATAGTGATTCATCGGTAATGTCCATTTCATGCATTAATTGTTGTCCATCACCGGCACTGTAATCATCAATATCATCGATTACTTCGTCATTTTCTTCATCAATATGATTATGATAATTATTATTATGATTATTATTATTATCATTATCATTATTACCGCTGTTGTTTTCTATATCATCACTACGATATATGTGAATAACACCATTAGAATGTGGTATTTTCTTTCTCATTGGTATTAAAAATAGTGTATTGTAAGTTTTATCAGATTCTATACTTTGTGAGTCAATTTCATGCACTGTACTCAAATCGTGATGGATACCACCGTCAGTGTGATCTTCATCGTCAATATCATCAATATGCTCAGAATTGTCATCTATATTATTATTATTGTTATTATTATTATAAGCTTCACTGTTTACAATAACAACTGTGTCATTGTCTTCACCATAAGCATAAGCATCATTATGACTATCATCATCATCATCATCACCAACGTTGAATGGTTGATTTTTAAAGGAATTTTTTCCAATTAACAGTTGTGCTGTTTCATTGACTAGCATCATTGGTCGTGATGCACTCTCTGTCATTTTATTTATTAATTAATTAACTAGCCAGTAGTTGGTAGGTATAGTTTGTTTTGTGTTTGTTTTCTTTCTGCTGCTCTTGCTGCTGCTGTTTTCTCTCTCTTGCTCTCTCACTTTTTCACTGCTGTTATTGTTGTTGTTGATGTTGGTGGTGGTGGTGGTACTGTTAGTTTAGTACAAATTTCAATGCATTAACCCCCTATTTGGTTAATAATATTAATAATATTGTATTATTATTATTATTACTAGTTGAAGTGTGTCATTACTGACGCCTCTCTCACTCTTTCTCGCTGGTTTATTACACGCACGCACGCACACACACACACACTAAATACTACCAATCTCTTTTAGTGTCCAACAATCCGTCGTGCTAACTAACAGCTTACCACTCACTGTTTTATGCGTGGGTGGATAATGCAAATACTTTTAACATTAATATTATTATTATTAATATCATCGTCACATTAGCACAATACAATAACAGCCAATTAGAATCATTCGACCTTGTCAAGCTAAATAAGCTGCATTTTGATTGGTAGAATTCAAGATGGTGATGATAAGTGTAACAAAACATGAGTATGAGTAAATAAATTGTAAAGTACTTTCTTCTAATTCTTACTAATTACCTCTACTTTTTTTCCTTTTCTTTTCTTTTTCTTTTCAAAATCAAAACTACTTATAAGAATGTTACATTAGCATATAATTATGCATATATTAAATTATTTTATTGATTTTGGAATACTTTAAAAGGACACACACTAAGAAGAAGTAAACAGTTAATTAGTATACAGTTCTGAATAAGGTGAAGCAAAAAAAAGAAGTGTGTATTATTATTATATTAGAGAGTTCATTGAAATTCTTTCACACATTCATCATTAACTTTCTGCCTACCTAATTCTAAACAGAGAAGAAAAGACAAATAAACAAAATAATTATAAAGCACAATCTACTTTTACTCATTTCTGAATATTCTTAAGAGATTCTGTATATGCTTATACTCTATTTCTTATTGTAATATGATTAGTTGCACAAGAGGGAGTGGCTCTTGTGGCGCAAGTGGTCTAGTGGATAACACACTGGCGTTTGAAACTATGGGTACTGGGTTCGAGCGTCGGTGAGAACGTCAGCATTCACTGGGGAATGCAAGTACATCATCCAGATGACGAGTCGCAAACAGGACGAAATGCGCATCCTGCTAGTCACCATCCATCAATTAGATTCAATTGACAATTGATTCCACCACAAGAGTTAGAATCTAGGAACTTTCAAGCTATGGAAACTAACCTTTGAAAATTTATCTAATGTTTGCCAGTGAGTGACTGGCTATAATCGGTGGATGAAGTTGGCTGGAGTTCTGATAAGAAGTCTTGACCAGTAGGGTCTACCATAAGGTCGGGTATGAAGACAAATACTTGTCAATGATATTGGCCGGTGATCACGCTGGAATCCTGAATTGGTTAAAGATAGGATCCATGGACTTACCATTGAATAGGGTCCTAGTAACCTAGAGATCCTGGGTCCGAACCCCAGTGAATGCATACAGATGCAGAGTCCCAAATTATGTTGAAACAACAATCCAGTTCTTTGTAGTTATTCAGTGGTTCTAAATAATATTAATCCGCCATAAAATTAAAATAATTTTAAATTTTATTATAATTCAATGTGTAACTACATAAAGAGGCGATGGAGGTTCCCTATCATTGGGTATAGGTCGCCACAGACATCTCAACCTACACTCTTCTGGTGGTGTCATTTTCTGTAGACAATTTGATTTTAGTGATGACAATAATATGGAATTCAAAGCCTATGCAGTACTGCCGTGTAAAGAAGGAAAATCAGAGGCCCTTCACAGGATTCTTAATAAGGCGTTTAAATCAGCCTACTGTGTCAAAGTTGTAATAACTGTCAGGAGAAAAACATAATAATAATAATTTGCTTTATTCCAAAACAGTACTTGTGATACAGAATGGAATTCTCAGGATTTTTACTACAGTATTGCATCCAGTTTGTACATCAACAATAAATGAAATTCTACATAGATTAAGGAAATCTCAGTTAGTTTTGACAACAATATATTGGCATGTCGGTAGCAAAGCCAAAGTTGAACAAAGTGTTTGAAGGTGTTAGAAAAGTAGGTGCTATCATATTTACTGGCGTAAGCAAGAGAAAAACACAAAGCAGCACATAACGGAAAAAAAGAGAAAAAAAGATAGAGAGAAAATGAAAAGAAAGAAAACGTATAAATGATATGAGCTGGAAAGACGACGTCCAGTTGTTCTACTGACTATTTAATGAATTATAGGTGTCACACCTAATGCTTTCTTTATCGCACAGAACATGAGCTAAGTAGGGTATAGTTGAGTGTTCGTACTTGCTGGTGAGAGCATATAGTTTTCCATATAGGCTTCTGGTTTTGCCTGATGAGATGCAAGAGGAGAGTTGTGAGTGAAGAGCGTGGTGTGAGTTAGATAAAATGCATTTAGCCCATTTTCAAATAAGTCCATGTGCCTGTCAACCAGAGTATTAGCAAGCTGGTTAAGTGGCACGTTGCCTACCCTGCTGACAACCTTTAACATCCTGCGTAATAAGGTATAGTCTTTCTTCAGTATCCCTGGAAAAACTAAGGGGGAACAACAGAGAATAATAGGCAGGATGCGAGAATTAACGAATTGTAGAAGTAAGGGTTGGGTTATTCCAGTATGTCTTAACTTCTTAACATAGGTCATACAGGTAGACTGCGGTTGGTTAGATTGTTGAAAGATAGAAATTTAGCTACACCTATAACGATTAATCCTGCTAATTCAAATAACTGAGTAGAAGGCTCGGCTATCGCAATATATTCACTTGCGTATTATCACACAACAGGGAGGGAAAGGGTAAGAATAGTAAAAAGTAATATGGTTAGGTGCAGAGGAAACCTAACCACTGAATGTTTCTTCATCGAATCAACACACAACATGTGCAGTCGAAATGTCGAATATGATAAAATTGCAACAAACAGAGAGAAGGAAACAGAAGAAAAACATCTGAGTGTTGGCTTTGAGTAAATCGACCTTTACAACCTTGCCATCCTCTCTTCTATCTGGCCTAACACCTAAGCAGTCAGAGACGAAATTCAACTCTTCTTCAATAGTGAAAAGCATACCAAGGGGGTGAGAACCATTAAATTTTCCCAAGGAGTTCAACAGTTGAACACCTATCATCCCAAATAAAAAAAGTCACGTCAATTTGTGTATTTATCAGCTTACTTGTTCGTGTGGAGCAAAGTATGTCCACCGTACACAGCGTGAAGTCCGCTAACGTATCCTGGAACACCGTCCAGAGTGGCTAGCCAGCCACAGGAGAAAAGAAGAATACTAGCAACTCCATCCTCGAACACCTTGTCATCTCTGGATATCTAGCACCCCTGCATGAAGGCTTCACTGTGCTACATGGAGTCCCTCAATATCGTACGAAAGGACTTCGAATACGCCATCTGTAAATAGCTGAATCATTGCCTATTAGGGATCTAAAACTGAACCTCTGAATTCAAAAGCACTTCATACATCCCCTCACCCCACCGTCGACAGAGTAACGTTCTTACTATAACTCTGCTTCCTTTTTGTTGTGTAAGTTTACTATTATTATTTTATTATCATTATTATCCGCATCATCCATATTTTATTATCACTCTATTACTGTTTATTAATAACATTGCGTTTTCATACAGATTTTACAAAAAAACACTTTATCGTCCCTCCACTAGTTTCTGTCCATTCTACACAATCTTATTGATTAGTCATTTTCTCACACTTATTACATCATGCCGACTTCTGCCTCTTTTCTAACTTCCATTTAGACACTTCTTCTACGTTACATTACACCTTAGATTACGTAATAGGTTTTTCGAAGGCAAATTTTACCAGTATCTGATTGATTGGTCTTATGAATTCTTTGTTAAATATAATTACGATTGCAAAAAGCAGCTTGTGTGAAAATGAGTCGTCAAAAAGATAATTTTTTTAGCTGTTTACGTCTTTTTCTTTTCACGTTCCCAGTGGAACATAGGGCTTCAAGCTAGAGGCTTAGAGTTTCTTTAGCAGTGTTTATTCTTACAAGATGAAGTTGCTAGCCTCATGCCCAACCTTTCCTCTTTACCAGCATTATTTCTGGCTCAGCGAGGTAAAGGAGTGCGTCGGTGGCCGGGGATCGAATTTCGGACCATGTGTATGGTCGGCGAGCCACCGACGCACCTTAACCTACCATGGTAATCCTTATTTGATTGGATTACCAAACGTTGTGTTAATCATTCTTAAATCCTTTTTCTGTCACTTTGTTTAATTTAACATTTTCATATATATATCGACTTGACAAGTAAATGTGTGATCAGATTGTTCGAAATGTATAGCACAAATACATCACATTTTTCAGATAATCTCCGTCTTCTAATAACGCTATCCAAATTTATAAAAGGGACTAATTGTTTTTTTAACATTAATTCCATCAACGTAACTGACGAAGTCAGTTGTCCGAAAGACTATATTTACATAGGTTTGATCACACAGGTTCGAGAATATTTTTGATTGAACACTAGTCAGTAACTAGTGTGACGTGGCCACATAGCTTGGTGATCACATTGCAAGCTTGACTGATAGAATTCAGTCTGCGGCGAAGATAGGACTAGACGCATTACACTAGTTACTGACTAGTGTCCAATCAAAAATACCCAAAACAGTCAGTCTAACAGGAAGTCAGTCGCGAGCCTGATTAACTCAGTAGTAACGTCTCTGACTGCGGCACTGAGTGACGCGGGTTCGAATTTCAGGCATGAGTTCCTTCGAGGTTGCAGATATGCCTTGCTGATGAGTGCACAAAACCCAGGTCCAAGGCTTCCTGCTGATTGCCTCCAACTATCTAATAGGTTCAAGAATTTCAGCGAGGCATTTAGCTGTAGAATGAAAAGACGAGTTCAGCATATCCAATACAGGTCTCAGAAGGACACCATCTTTGTGAACCTTGGAAGATTTGGTGGAACCGTGCTTGAACCGGTATTCTTCAGCGCATACTTAAATCTGGAGATATCGCCAAGTAGGACGATGAGAGCTTCTTAAGTAAACCATCCAGCTTAGAGAACATAACTACATCAAAATATAGAATTATACTGTAACAGTGCCCCAATT